TATATATAGTAAAAATGGAAGCACAAATCTCAAAAGAACCAAGCGGCTAGGTTTTTTTATTTTATTCTCTGCCCTATTTTTGAGACGTATGTACATAGAGAAAAGTTAGGATTTAACATCAAAAAATATGGTGTGATGAGCTTGACTATGTCGCAGACGGAAGTGGAGCACACAACAAAGAAGAATCACAGCAAAGAGACACATCACCAATGGAGTTCGCAAGAGAGTGAATGCATCGAGAGATTCAACAGGAAGTTTAGGAGTTGTGGGAGCAAATGATGGGTCAATTTGAGGCCCTCCAAAAAGAAATGACTCGAAGGAATGATCTAACACCTCTTCTAAAGGTGGGCTTTAGGGGAGCTCGCTCTTAAGGAGTGCGCCTTGAGAATCTGCCAGCGCTCAATGGTCAAATGGCAATCAAGAGACCAAAGGAGAAGAAGATTCCCAACATGTTGATAGCAATGGATATACGTCGATGGTCAGGCACTAAGTAGAGCGAGTCGAGGCACCTATTCAGCTACCCCAGATGACAAATCATGGAGGTAGTACCCTCGGCGAAGTTAAGAATTCCTCATTTGGATCCTTACAAAGGAAAAAATAATAATACGATTGATCATGTGGCTTTTTTTGAATCATCAGTCAGAGTATTATAGATCAACGACATGATGAAGTGTCGGCTTTTCTTAACGATAGTCAAGGAGTCAGCTCTTCAATGGTTTCTTAGTATGTCGATTGGTGTTATTTTGACCTTTGCTAAGTTTAAGAAACCGGGGAAGAAGTTTTGGGTTCTGCTGCAAATAAAGTAAGGAGAGAACAGAAGCCTGCTACCTTATATCACTCGATTCCAGAAGGAGATGCTGGAAGTGAAGGATTCGTAACCTCTGATTGCCCAGACTGTTATGGCGAAAGAAGTTAGAGTCGAATAATTCAAGTATAACTTAAACTTGCTTAAGCTAAAATCTTTTGTTGAGCTACCAATGAGTCTCTTACGGACCCCTCTAATGCTAAACTAGAATCATTTGACTATTGATCAAAGAAGAGGAAGGTGCAGGACGAAGGACATAAACTAAAGGACAAGCAAATGCTCGTTAGTGATCCACGTTATGACAACAACCAAGGCCCTGACATAACTGAGGCAATGATAAGGGAAATCAGAGTGATAATTGATATGCTGACATGCAAAACAACAAACCTACTCCTTAAGACTAGAGGGAATATCTTAAAATGAAGTAACCCACAGTTACTAACAAAGGTATTTTAAATAGCTTTGAAGCTAAGAATCCTCCATGCTTCGACATTCAAAGAGGATCCCTAGTTATGAGGTTATTCATACTTGGTAGATTCTAACATTTCCGAAATGACGAAAAGCCATGGGCAACTTGGCTGGAAAGTTATTCCCAGAATCTAGGTTAATCCACCTATAGAATTTCTTATAGAGTCTAGGGCTTCACTTCTCATATAAAAATCCTTTCCTACCCAACTCTATCTTTAGCCTAGGGTTTCTGATCATTCATGACAGTCAAATCTGGTATCCCTCATTTATCCTTTCACTTTACCTGATCAATTCAAATTCAATGCCAGACCTCTTTCATCAAATCAGTCTTATATCTTTGGTCTTTCTCCTGACACGTCATCATCATACTGTAAGTCCCTCTCCACTTTTGAATGTAATTCTTCCAATTTGGACCCCCGTTCCTATTATGAAAGTATAAGCTCTGACATATTGACTCGCCACATTAATGAAGAGTTTTCTTTAGGGCTCACAGTTTTAAGGATGTAATTAGCTACAATGGGTTGCCCTTGTAGAGAACGACACCCCACAATTAAAATAAACCTTATCTTATACTTGTAAGATAAGAGAAGAATCTTGGTTCCACAGATTTGTAAATCCCCAAGACTTTCTCTATCTGAATAATTGAATCCATTCTAAGGTAATGTTTCAAGAGAGTATATTATACTTAGAATGACATATTTGATCATTTAGATAGAAGTTCTTTGAGAGCTACGACAACCAATGAACCAAAAACAATTCCCCTTAGTAGCAATACTTATTTGCAAGTTTGGTTGTGTTCTTTATTAGAAACAGACGAGACAACAGTTGTTTTCAACTCTTATTTTTCTTTCATTATATTCTCCAACATTTCGATCACAAATTTTTCTCAACAACAAAACCATCAAGTTTAACCTTAAGAATATCTCTATCATCTTGAGCCCTTTAGGGCCAGCCTCCAGCAAGGAGACTTTATTTTGTGCATCAATCAAAGAATTTTCGGCTTCACCCAAAGCTAACCTTTGGAGGCGAGCCACTTGCATTAACATCAAATGAAATCAAACCAGTGTTGCAAGATTTTCTGACAAATGAGCCTCTTTAAAAATTTGTCGTATTTTTCAGACCATATCCCCCCTAAAATGGTGGAATTCCCTCGGTCTCGACAGAATCAACAAACAAATCCCTTGAAGTATAAATCAGGTTGAATCAATTGTTAGTGTCAACCCATCATCTTCCCTCTCCCCCACAGTTTGAACTGATTTATGTAGAAATTAGGTTTGAGTTGAAGTTGTTTGTCGTTCGATCAGATCTTAAACTTGTCACAAAATGATTGTTCGGTCGAAGATATAGGACTTAAGTTGTTTCTTTACATCCGCTGACGTAGGGATGGACTCATCGATTGCGAGTTAGGTCCCAAAGAGTGTTGGAAAATACTTAAGAGCCATCCAAAGATTGGAAGCAAAGAGAGAATTGGGAAAGGAAATCGGAGAAGAAGCACGAAAGTGTAAAAAGTAAAATGATAGTCTCAAGCCCTATTTATAGGTTGAAAACAGAAGTCGAAATGTTTCTAAAAGATAAATGTCACAACAAAAATCATTTCACATTAACTAAAATATTATTTTATTAAAAAAATAATTAAAAAACTTAATAAAAGGGTTTTTTGTCGCTTCAGCCGATGCATCTTCCAGAAGACCAACTCTCCACCCCTTCTAATTTGATCTATTCAGTTGACGTCTTGCTGAAATTTGTTCTGAACGGTTGACTCTTGAATGAGCCCTAACTCAGTCCGTTCATCAATCAGTTCACTGTGAAGCGCAACAATCTCTTCTTTCGACCTCGCAAAGCGAGCCAGTAGCTCCCCATCAATAGACCCTCTAATCGTTGTCACTGAGGGGCCAACTATTTTCCTCATCTGGCACTCCCTAGAACTGGACGACAAATTGTTTGCTCTCCAAATGTCACGTTGGGAGCTGTTGAATGGGTCTATTGATTGGTACACACCCTTATTGATTGATTGATTGATTGATTGACTAGATTCAAGGATCGAATTTTATGATTCAACTATAGGTGCTTAGGCAGATCAACAATGATATTCTTAAATGAATCACCATCAAAATGAATCTTCAGTGCAGTCGACTCATTTGTGTTAAGAATACTGTCAATGAATTATTAAACACTGCAAAATTCAAAAAAAATTTCATACCCAAATAACAATTTAATTCAGAGAGGGAAACAGAAAATTCATCTGTTCTTGTGTCGGGAGGTCGCCATATCTATTCTACAGTAGGTAGGACTGTCAAAAAAGCTCGTTGTTCGCGAACAACTCGTGTTTAGCTCGTGTTCGGCTTGTTCATTAAGTAAACGAGCCGAACACAAACAAGTTCTTGAGCTCGAAATATAAACGAGCCGAACAGAAACTGACTCTTTGTTCGCTCGTGTTCGGCTCGTTTTACCCTCGAAATAAAAAATATATATAATAATATAGTATATATAGTATTCATTTGGTCCAAGTTCGAATCCAGCATTTTACATTTATTTTTTCAATTTAATTTTAATAAGTCAATTTCAAGCCGAACACGAACACGTATATTTAAATTGAGTCAAACACGAACACATTGTTCACGAGCTAATTTTGAACACGAGCCGATTTCGAACACAAACAATTTCGAACGAGCCGAACACGAGCCAAGCCTGAGCTCGATCAAGCTCGGCTCGTTTACAACCCTAACAGTAGTGGCATAAGAGCATTGAGAGTTTCTTCGATGGATGAAATGACACTGATTTTTCTCAACAATCACACCGATGATTTGCCCAGAAGTCAAGGATTTCTAGCGAGCATCCATTTTTAGGACCTTTTTGGCATCTGACTATCAAGATCTTCCCAAGAAGTGACTTGGTCGACTGACTCAGGTTCGAGTGTCGATCGCTTCTTTTTCATTACAACTTTCATTTTCTTCTTTTTGACTGTTGTAGAGGCAGGAAGCTGAAAGACTTCCAAAGCTAAAAGGCGAAAATCTATGTTCTTTTTATTAGAACAATCAACCATGATACTTTTCGAGAAACCAAAGCAATGTTGAATGAAAAGAATAAAATACAAGCCTTCATGCCCTATTTATAGAGTTCATTAGGCACATACTCCAACGGAGAATTAATTTTTTATTTATCGTGTCATTTGTAGCTTACTAATTTTTCTGTCCTTGTCGTGATTGTTGTTATAGCTAGAAAAATCAGGGAACTAATATGTATACA